GGCGGCCCAGAGACAGAGGAACAAAACAAGGGGCTTTGGCGTCGAGAGGCGCGAAATTCGTCTTGTGTATGTGCCTGACCCTGACCTCGTGATAGACAGGTTACGCAGGAATTTGCAAGGGAATTTGCCCAAACCACCTCTGGCAGTTGATGCGGTACTCCTCGATCATTTTGACCACAAGAACAATCGTACATGTTGCCGTCCTGGCTTCTAGTGGCCCAGGGTATTCTCGGTAAAGACTTGAGTCGGTATATGTGGTGATATGAGAAGAGAGACGGATGCAACAGCTGAGCTGAGTACAGAGATAAAAATGATTACGTCATCAGTCGACCAGAACCCGAACGCACCGTCTATGATAGGATTCAGTCCAATGCATTCCACCGCTCTACATCCTGATTCCTTCGTTCAATCGCCCCCTCCTTGTTCCTTGTCAGTCACACTATCAGATCCGCCCACTCCACGCTTCACGGTGCCTAGCTACTTGCGCACCTCGTCCTCGCTGTACGCCTTTATTCGGCGTTCTCTATCTCTTTGATGCAAACGCTCGCCAGGGATCTGAAGGATCGCAATGAGTACGTTTCCGGCGTAGCCATCGGGCAGCACGGCCCGGCCCGTGCAGGGTCGCCGAGCACGGCTTCTTGCGCCGGAGTTCGGCGGCAGGGTCTGCGAGGGCGCGTGAAAACGCTTGCAGTGGAGACGAGGAGGCCGGCAAAGGCGAGCGCGCGCGGGGTGTGCGTCAGCAAAGGAAGCAGGCGGAGGTACCGCCCATTGTTTGTGAGGGCGCCAGAAGCATCTAGTCCGGGAACGGCGCAGAGATGGAGGTGTCGCGAATGGAGGAGATGAAGGGGCTACATAGCTCGAGCCTGTCACGAGTATCGATCTGAGGGGGCGAAGTGCTGTCTTCAACACGGGCGCTTGGAGAGCGAATCGCGAAATGGCGCCAACGCGTTCTACTCCTGGGAGGCGTGGAAAGGGGACTGGTCGCAGGAAATCATTTTTCAGAGAAACATGTCTAAGGGTGAGGGAAAGAAAGGAGGTCGTCCGTCAGCCGGAGTCTGGAGAGCAACGGGCAGAACGGGCAGGGGTGATGGCAAGGAAAGGCAAATATTGCGTACCGAGTTGGCGAAACCACCACCTGATGTGCTATGCTTCGCCGAATTGCACTACCTCCGACTACGAGGATGCGGTGATGGTACCCTCGGTTCGCGATAGAAGATAAAGCGGAGTATCTCGCGATCAGGCCGAGGCCCCCAAACTTGTCGTCCTTGAAATCTAGGCTCGTAAGGATAGTGAATCAAGTTTATTGCGACGATGAGATGATCGAATGGGGCGAGAATGGTACGGTTGTGAGTCCATCATGCCAGTGAGCTGTCAGCGACCGGAGACATTGTTGCAGTGCCAGCCAGCAGCCAGAACTTCGCAGTGTAAGCACATTCACGAAGGTCCTAATGCAAGACAATTTGTTTGCGGAACTGAAGTACGAAACTACAGTATGATTAGGGAAGAGCACTGTGGGGGGGATGAGAAGTGAGGTATTGTCACTAGTAAAACGTCAATTTGGAGAGCCACGGTTGACTTGGGATGAGAAGAATGATAGAATCGGTTCTGAGATATGAATATAGCCTGAGCGATGTTTCTCGGAGGTCTGTGGTGGATGGTGGTGGTACGGTGATGAATTCGCCAACCAAATGCCACCGGCGCGATCCAAAGAGGACAGCCTGAGGGTTCGTGTCACCTCATTGGGCACGTCGACGAGTGTCTTGAACATCGGTGTCACCTGGACTCCGGCCCACGATTGGGCACGACGAAACGCTAGACAATTTAAGGGAAGGGGTACTTATAATGGAACTGGTTGATCATTGGGTATGGCCGTGTTGCAAGACGGCTTGAAGGTGAAAGATTACATAGCGGGAACTAGAATAGCGTATAATACTTTGGCTTCGAGAGCTCGGAGGAAAAGTCAAAACTCGGGCATAATAGCGTTCGGTATAGAGAACCAACGGCACAGCCCAGTGCTGATCAAGACGACATGCAAAACATTGTGTCGAACCCAACTGCGTCGCCCATGTGCTTCATGTCTTGACAATGGAAACGGAAAGCACGCCTCCCAAACTTGGAACGTCTGAGCCGTCTCGGTACGCGCAACTTCTCTGTGATAGATACTCAAGGGGGCATGAGTCTTCTACCGTAGCTTCTGGGAGTAAATCCGAAGCGTCGGAGGAAGAAGTGGTAGGTGAGCTGAGGTCGCTACTTTGCGAAAAAGTTGGAATGAGGGTAGTAGTGACAGGACGAGGAAGGTGGTGACCGGAAGAGCAAGGGGCAGTAGATGAGGGTGAAGACACGCAAGTCGTGATATTTTCTCCGAGTACCGAAAGGTCTCGTGTATGGGTCGTCGTGCTAGATTCAGACATCCCTAGGGCCACGAAGGTATACTCTTTATCTTCGCCTCTTCGTGCACCTTCGAGATAATCGTCAATGAGTTTCAGCCGACTATGGGTCGGTTGCTGGCGTAGATGTAAGAGCGATCTATCATCAAGGATCTGCGAATTAAGGTGATTGGGTTATGTGAGTGTTTGTATATAGACCATAATGAAGGCAGACCTGTAGTCTGGGGATCCAGTGTGTGAAAAGGCGAGGCTGAGTCATGGCTGAAGTGGCAACGCAAATATCAGGGTTCCAGTAAGCGGGAAGAAGGCAGTCCGTTGACATTGTCAAACTGGGTGAGATATAAAGGGAGGTGGCGGACCAAAACCAGGGCTGCTCCCAGTTATATTTGCGTTGGGCATCGCACGGCACAAGCCACAGTAGCCGAATGAAAGGAAATGTGGATGTGCTGATTTGAAGATTCTGAGTCACAAAAGTGAAAGACAAAGAACAGCGCTTTGACCCTTTTACTGCTGTGGCTAGGAACGGCGATGGTCGTTTACGAGTGGTTGGACACAATCACGGGTACGATGCGATAGCTTATAGCGCTTATCGCCCAGGACTGTATTGGTCTGGTGGGATGCGATTGTGGTTGTGGTATGGCTGTGAACCGAATGGTGCCCTTGTTGATGTGGATTCGGAGGAGATGACTACTACGAAGACGTGCCAGTCTCCCGAGAGCTGGTCTGGAGTAATATAGTCATTCTGACGAGCGATTGTCTGGAACTTGAGTGTTCCTCCAGCTGGAGAGCTGTTTGACCGTGACATGACCCGCATAGGCTGAGGTCGAATATTTTGAACGGCGGTCCAACCCTTATGGAAACCGTGCTATGATAGCGGGCCGGTCCAGGCCCGTAACTCACAAATGTCCTCCACTCAGGCTACTGGAACGACGGACGATAGTCTCAATCTATCGAAGCAGCTTCAAGAATGGACGCAAACCTCGTTCACGGACCTGTACAAACTCGACCAAGACCCTCAGATACAAACGTTATTCACGCCCGATGCGCAGATTAACGTCAATGAAGAGGTGTTCTCGATTGAGAAATACGACGAGCATATCAAGGCGCAGCGCGGAGGAGCTACGCGGGTTGACATACTTTGGGAAGGCGTTCTCGCTAATCCAGAGGACGAATCGGTTCGTCATTGATTGTAATCAACCACAGCCGTCACCCTGACACGCGCTTGCAACAGCGCTCCGTATTATTCAAAGGATCTTACACTATTACCCGCTCACTAAGGTTCAGATTGCGCGCTGCCCCGATGCAGACACTGACTCACGTTGTACTGGAAGCGCGGTACGAACGCCTCCCCTTTATTTACTTTCCTTGTGTGTTGATGCGCGGTTAGGGTCGTCGAGGTTGATTCGAATCGAAAGATCGTATCTCTACTACAGACGGAAACATATGACCGCCCACCGGTGCATCTAGCTCCGGTACCAGCGGGGATTTCCCAGGGAGACACGTCAGAGGTTGATGGTACCCAAGGTTCATGAGGACCCCAGTTTCTCCGCGTGGCGCAGGTCATCAACATCACTCTCTCGTGGTTCTGGGGTGTTTCCATATTCCCAGTGAGAGGGGAAGCAGGCCAGGTTGGTACGCCGGAACCCCACTGGCGCGGAACCCTCTACGAAAACCCGAGAGTGCGGCTCAGTGTACGGTATTCGATTCTTGGTAGTTTTCAGCCTTTTGAATGTACATTTGATCATCAACACGGGATAAGATAACATCTTCGCGTCGCGCCTGTTACGCGCCTGCCGCACCGCCTTGTGATGGTATGTGGGTGAAGCGCACATGCGATCTGAGTCCCAGCTAACTGGGAGAGACTTGGTCTCCCTCCTGCTGGCACCACGATCGACCTCCAAATTGCACCCAAGCCCCATACCGCGAGGCTGCTTTGATTGACGCCTCTATAAGGTCGTTACTAGGCACTCAAAGCCTGTCCTCATTTCTGTACCTGTATGCACGTGTGCCCTGCACAATGTTAGTTACACCGTAGATGGCACACACCTGTCCAAGGAGCAGGTCGCTGCTTGTCACTGGGCTGCCGCCCCACCAAGATGATGCATTCTGAGATTCACTTTAGTAGACTTATTCAGGGCCATCTAAATTGAGCGATAATCGCCCTGTTGAGTACTGAAACCACTTACTACTATAAAGCCTGGACGATATTGGCCAAAACAGGATTGTGATGACCAAATCACATCTGCAGAGCGTTCACTGTGCCTGTCATGTGCGACCGACAGTGTGCGACCGACAGTGGACATGCCCAACATTGGTTTGCGTCTCCGTCTCTGGAGATCACACCATGGGTTCTATCACCGGATGCCCCGGAGGTGCTCTAACACCCAATCTGACAGATCTTGTGACACCACCTAGATCTTTGTGATCTGAGGGTGCGCGGACGTGCACTGGCAGGTACCATCGTGAGTACCTCACCTTTTTCTTGGTCATGGCCGTAGTTGCCCGGTGTTATGATCTTTATTGCTTTAAACGGTCTATGCGTCCTTGAAAATTTTAGACAACATAAAATCGACAATCGACAAGAAAATAAAATGCAACACTAAAAAAAGGATTTGGACACATCCGGAATTGAACCGGACACCTCTCGCATATTTGTTTGCTAAGCGAGCGTGATAAACCATCTACACCATGTGCCCTTATTGGTGTGTTTATGGGAAGGTATCTCGACTTGCGTGCCATCCAATCACGATTGAACAGAATAATCCTTGGAATGATCTTGGGAATAATCTACAGTGGTATAATAAATAATGCATATTTAAGTATTTCTCGTCATACTGTGCATGTGCCATCTGCGTTCCAGTATTCACTGCGGACGCCTGTTGGAACGATGAACAGGTCGTTCGGGTCGTAAATAGCCTTGATGCTCTTGAGGCGGGCGTAGTTCGGGCCGTAATATGTGACCTGGGGATTCGGTTCGAGTACATCGCCCTCGTTTGAGTAACTACCAGCTCGAGGGGCCCCCAGCAAGGACCCGCAAGCACAGGCCTCACTAATGAGGTAAAATTCCTGCGCAACGTGAGTACATCAGGATGCAGCTAGGGTATCGTCCCAACGTTGAGTGGCGATGAGCTAACGAACGACATCAGAATGAGGCCTGAGTTATCCGGGTGGTGATGGAGAGCTTACATGGGTCTTGGCTACCCGCCATGCGGGGTGGATCCGCGGAATCAATATTTGCATTGGCAGAGACCTGACCTACATCAATGGTCAGCGCCGGTCAGCCCGGGTGTAGGTCTTAATGGCTACGGAGCTACGTACCACCAGCGACGAGATGCCCAAGAACTGACTGGATACCTTGCGAGAGCAGCTGCTTTGTACGCAGGCACCCACGCTCGACGGCGAATGAACGTAAATAGATTTGGGAATGAGGCGAGAGCTGAGGATGACGTTATACCCAGACTGGTCGTCTGGGAATCCAACAATATCGTTGGGAGCCGCTGTGATTGTGGACTCCCCCTGTACGATGGCTCCTAGTACAGTTGCGTTGGATAGGAAAGCAGACATCTGGGCTTTGCTGGCATCGCCGTCGAGGTCCTTGAAGACCGTGCTGAGGGCAAGTGTGCTATTCGTAGCGGATCCTGCTAGATAGAAGTACTGCCCGGCCCTGACGTTATCCCAGTCACTGATGTGTTTGGCGTGCAAAGTCATCAAATCGCCCGTTTGCTCTACCGTCGCCGTAAGGAGATTCACGCTATGCAGGGTTGCGCTGAAAATCGGGAAGGTGCGGAACGTGGCATCAATAATCACCCCCCAACTGCCAGCGCCACCTCCACGTAAGGCCCAGAATACTAGAGGGGGAAAAGTGGGAGTTAGTTGAGGCCGCCACCAAGCGCCAGGCACGGTGAACGTACGATTGGGGAAAGAGGCTGAATTGACTAACAACGTAAGAGCCGTTGGCCAGAACAACGCTGTACTCTGATTTTATTTTTGAGGCTTATCTTAATGCGAAGGGTACGGAAGCACGTACGAAGAACATTGTCTGCGGCGAGTCCATAAATGGGTGAGAAAGCCGAATGCCCAGCACCTTGGGTGTAGCCTCCTGCAGCAGACACGGTTGCAGCAGTGCCGCCCACGAACATTTTATTTTGTGCCTTAGCTGCGGCGTAGATATACTTGAGACCAACGCCCGAACCAACTGTAACCGCGGAACCTTGATCCGCGCCGCCGACAAGAAAATGGTCGGTAAATGTGATGTCGCGAAAGTATGCCGTCCATAAAAGTAGCGAATTTTTTGCGGTAGAACGACCTAAATAATCGTGGCCAGAGGATTTGATAACAACGCGTAGGTCATGAGCCCGGGCAAATCGTACTCCCGCCTGTGGAATAAGAAGGTAAGCGACGCAACTAGAAGGCAGGAAGCCCATTTAACCTGTATGTGCTGAGCAGTTGTCGCGTTAACTGCATAAAGCGGGACATCCCCCTGCGCACAGGTGGTACCGTTCAGCAGGCAGAGTTCTGCGGGAGGAGTGTAGTCCTGCGATCACGGTCACATTTAGCAAATACAAGAAAAATCAGACGAGAAAGGCATCACCTGCTCCCAGTTGTACTAAAAAAGTAATTTAGCGGTGATAAACTGGATCAAGTTGAAGCAAGTACTCACGGCGTTCATCGCGCCAGGGATCGTTTGTCGGAAAATGCCGCTCGCCCATTGTGCCTCAGTGCAGCCTAGCTTACGACACGCCTCAACAGATGGTACGACTCTGAGTAGCCTGCCACTAATTGTGTTATTAAGAGTGGACCAATCTGCAGCAGCGGGATAGCCAGGGTCTCCTGGCTGATTGCGACACCGTGCATGAACTACTTGAACAGGTCTGGTCAATGAAATCGCCAACACAACGGCAGTCACGGAAAGAAAAAGAGAGAGCATTGTTCGTTGCGACGCAGGGAGAGAGAAGACAAGTCAGACGGGATGCCACAATTGCATCTTAAGTAGCTCCAGTGCCTTCCGGTGGACACGTGGAGGGGAAACGCCCCGCAGCAACCCGGAAAAGAAGGACGATGGTGAAGAGGCTGTTGGTTCCATATGTAATGCTGACGTAGGAAGGATTGTGCTCGACCGGGAGATCACTGGAATGATCAAGGGAGACCGGAATTCTGAACTCCTGACCGGCCTAACCAACGGTAACGTGCCTTAACTTGAAGATACAACGTGAGACGTGTCCGAGAGAACGGTGTGGAGCATCCGTGCGCATCTACTAGCAAGAGTTAAAGTGACTGGAAAGCGCAGTCGCAACGATCTGCGAGTCTACGATGTAATGACTACCAACAAGGAAAACTCGTTCCCCCTGGATTTGAGGTAGATAGCAACCCAGTTTCGTGAAGCGCAGGAGTGCGAGATGGCCGTAAACCGAGCAAAAGTTGCCGGATAGAGACACGTGACCGGTTGTTTCCGTGGTTTCTTTTTTTTGTTAGTGTTGTTTCCGTGGTTTCGCGATCATGTGGCTGTGCAATCTAACTCGGAGCACCACTGTTGAGCTGTTCCCAGTCCTGCAGCAAGTACAGTAAGTTACTTGTGGTCTTTGCTTGTCCTTATTCAGCACAAACTTCCATCACAATTCTCGCATCAAATATGAATAATTTTCACTAGGCGTGGAATCGACGCGATGTGGGTCGAGCGGCGATCGTATCTGCCTCCGGCGGTGGTTTCCCCGGGTCCATTCCCCGGGTCCACATTACAAGTTCTGTGTGATCCGCACGCAATATCATTGTAAGCTTCTCGCCTGGAACCTTTTCTGGTTATAATCACCGGAATGACAGAAGCCTCGTTGAGAACGAACGACCGAGGAACCCCAGTTTAATGATGTCTACACAATGTGAAAGACGAGCAACCGTCTTTTCATGTGCAATCATGTGCATGGATGGTCCCCACACGTGTTGTCTTGCGTGTTGTACGACAGTTTCCAACAAGCACAGTATGACCAACTCGAATTCGTGTGGGGCGGTTGGGTAAATTGACTGGAAATGCACGTTCTGTTCCTCCTCCCGCGATCTCCAGAGCGATCTCTACCGGTTAGTGGACTCGTCGCGTGATAGGATCAACAAGTGTACTGTACGTTGAGAAGGCGAATAGACTAGATTTGGGGGGGTGGAAGAAGCATGACTTATTCGGCAGGGTGTCCACTCTATACAACCATCTTTGATGGATTTATTGAAGCAGACCCGAAGAGATCGACTGCCTTCCAGAATCGTACGAATTTGGTGCGCTTGTTCTCACGGGGAGCCCCGGCGCTTCATTTCCCGTACTAGTAGGGCCGGGCCCGGGGGTACTGTAATGTAATTCACGTAGTATTGGGTATTCTGTTAGACTTGCAGTGAAAACGTGTACTTAGTGAGAATGGCCAGACAGGGGGCGGAGAAAGCCAACGATTGCAGCGGAGTGACAACGCACAAAGTTGAGCTGGGAATGAAAGTCAATGACTAATTATTATAGTGTAAGAACTGGAAACAACTCATACCACTAGCGCCTTTTATGACAGGTTGTCTCTTGGGCCGTCTAGACCGGGACCGTACTACGAGACTTGTGAAGTGAAGACTGAATGGGGATACGGCGTTACGAGAAACTTACGACCCACGACCCCTTGAGGCTTGAGCTTGAGCTTGAGCCCTTCAAGTTGAATGACCCGTTGAATGACCCAAAAAAGGGAAGGAAGGGGCTGTATTGTGTTGCGCGCAAAATAGAGTTTGACAGGCAGGTACGCTATGAGTCATGCACCCATGCACTCATCATGGTGTGCGACTGTAGCTCCACTGAGAGGTAAGGCAGCCCGAGGTTCACAACTCGTGCTGTAAGTAGAAGAAGCAAGAGTGGAAGTACGGTTTCTTTTTACTTGTTTAGAACGACTAGGTCTTACTCAGGCTGTTAAGATCATCTCGAGATGCAATCGCTCGCAATATTTCACTGTGATACAGGTCAGGTATAGAAGCGAGCGTGAGACGACGTGCATCAGCTGGTGGTAAGCATCATGATAAGTGGAGTTGTTTTAGTCGATATACAGACGCTCATCAGTTTCGCACTGTTTGTTCATGAAACACTCTACATCGAAGGACTACGTAGAGACACCACACTTCTCCCATGCGGGATTCCCGAGGCCGTGAGATGGTGGAGCAGGGTCCACTCGTGAATCCATTCGGAGTAAGTTCTCCGCGTTGGAAAACGTAGATACTCTAGCTTCGGTAGTGGAAGGATCAATCCCCTGTCTCGGACTTGGCGGGTAGTTAGTAGTACAAGGGACTCTTACTAGCCCGTCACCGCCCACGCGGGTCTACCACAAACAGCACCCTAGTCACATCCGTTCTCGGCATCTGAGGCGCAATGGCGGCTCATAGTCGCGATCGTACTGTCTACGGTTACGCTCTCCGGGTTGTGCGTCGACGATCGCTTCGCGTGCGACATGGGGTGGCTGTACATACCCAAATGGCGCACGCCCGTGGGCATAGAAATAGAAGGAGCTAGCAAAGGAGCTCCTCCACGCCCGAGAAGAGCCCTGATACGTAATGAGTGTGGATGAAACACGCCCTGGGTAGCAAATATCGTTAGTTGCTGGGGTTGTGCGAATGGTGCTCCAAGGCCGAGCACGCGTAATGGTCACGGGGTATCTACAGCGTCCTGTGCCCCGGGTATTCTCGGAGAGGTGTC